TACCTAGCTTGTACAGCATTTACAATTCACACTTCCTTTCTCTCATCACCTAGTCCTCATTATCAGCTACTAAAGATTCTGATGTGTTCATGATTAATTTTCTGTTTAAATTTTTATAATAAAACCATATTTTGCATTTCCCTGCATCCAAAGCATGATTTTCTCTTTCCTTTACAATCCTAAAATAAAGGCTTGGTAGAGCTTCTCTTTGCAGACTTCTCAAAATTTTCCTTCTTTGTCAAGCTTTGTGTTGACCTTTTGGGCAGGTGCATCTTTCATTGGACTAAGGACAGGCGCTTGGTTCTGTGTGGGCTGTCAAAGACGGCACTCTAGGAATGAGCCCAAACTTGGGTATGGAGCTTTTATGGGTAAAATAGATGCTTTATGCATTTGCAGTAGTACTGTCTTTTTACATGCAAACTAACTTGAGATTCATATATGGTGAGGTCAACCGGTTAATAAATATAATAAAAGGGATAGCACAGGACCTAACATAAGAAAAACAAACAGATCAGATGTTCTGTATGCATCCCTTCCCTCCCCCAATCTTGAAGCACTGTAAGGACCCACCCCACTTTGCATCTTAAGAAGACAGAACTCTTGGAATAATTCTTCCAACAGGCATCCTTTATTAAGAGAAAATGGTTGCAGGTGTTCTAGACAGGACTTGGGGTCCAAGCACTCCCATTCAAGGTTTTAAGGGGTTCCCCAGTAGTCCCACCCAATCACCCCCCTCTTCCAACGACGGTTTCAGGCATTACAATTCCACCCCCTTTTCCTTTCTGCCGGCTGGATGGAGACTTCAAAGAAAAGTACTCCGTCCAGACAACAGTATTCCCATTGCTTTCTGGCAATTCCACTATAAAATCCATGGCTATTTCCCTCCAGGGGGCTGAGGGATTTGCCACTGGTTGTAATAGTCCTGGCAATTTCCCTTGCAACCTCTTTGCAGATGCACATTTTGGGCAGCTGGCAACATAACTTTCTATGTCCTTTTTTATTGATGGCCACCAAAATTGCCGTTTAATTAAGTGTAAAGTTTTTACAAATCCAAAATGCCCTGCTGATTTTGTGTCATGGCAAAGCTGCATGAAAGTGACTCTTTGCGTTGTTGGTATATATAACTTTTCCCCTACCCAAGGCAACCCATCTCTCATTGTGCACACATTTTTGTTTTTCTGGAACCATTCGTCTGTTTCCAAACTTTTCTGGAATTCAATTCCAGTTTGGCTGTCCAGTTGTGATTTTAATTTAGCTTGGGTTCTTGTAGTTACTGGTGCTGCCAGTTGTGACTCTGCCATTATTGGTTTAGAGTCTGTGGTTTGTGCGCTGTTATATTGGGCCATGCGAGACAGTGCATCTGCCAGGAAGTTCTTTCTCCCTGGTAAATGTTTGAGCTTATATTGGAACTGGCGAAAATGCTGGGACCAGCAGGCTTGTTTGGGATTGAGTTTCCTGGGCGTTTTCAGCGCTTCCAAATTTTTGTGATCAGTCCACACCTGGAGGGGGGTTTTGTTGCCTTCCAGGAACTGTCACCACGTGAGTAATGCCCAACGTATCCCGTATGCCTCCTTCTCCCATACGGGCCAGTGCTGTTCTGTTTCCGTGAGTTTTTTGGATGTATATGCACAGGGTTGCAATACTCCATCATCATTTTCTTGTAATAGAACAGCCCCCACTGCCACATCACTTGCATTTGCCTGTATTACGAAGGGCTTGTCCATGTCGGGGTGCCTTAGCACTGGTTCGGCAGAAAAAAGTCTCTTTAGTCTCTCAAACGCTGCTTGGCACTCCATTGTCCATGTTAGTGGCTGGCTAGGTTTTACTGAGGATGTTCCCTTCGTTTTTAGTAAGTTAGTGAGGGGCAAGGCTATCTGTGCAAATGAGGGGATGAATTGGCGGTAAAAATTTGCAAAGCCCAGGAAACTTTGTAGTTGCTTTCTTGTGCGGGGTGGTGCCCAATCTAATACTGCTCTGACCTTCTCTGGGTCCATTTCAATGCCCTGTGGGGATATGCGATAACCTAGGTAGTCTATCCTTTCCTGGTGGAATTCGCATTTTGAGAGTTTGGCATATAGGTGGGCGGCTCGCAGTTTCTTTAAAACCGCTCTGACTAGGTTGACATGTTCCTCTTTTGTTTCGGTGAAGATAAGAATGTCGTCCAAGTAAACAAGGACCCCCTTAAATAGGTGCTCCCTTAGAACGTCATTGATTAATTGCATAAAGACTGCAGGGCCCCCTTGTACTCCAAATGGCAAGACTTTGAATTGATAGCATCCCATGGGGCAGTTAAATGCGGTCTTCCATTCGTCCCCTTGCTTAATTCTCACGCGATAGTACGCTTCCCTTAGGTCTAGTTTAGAAAAAATTTTCCCTTTCAAGAGGTGTGACAGCATGTCTTTCATGAGGGGCAGAGGGTATAGGTTGCTTTCACTGATTGTATTCAGGGCTCTATAATCCACGCATAAGCGTAAAGAGCCATCCTTCTTCTCGCTAAAAAGGACCGGGGCAGCCACTTTAGGCTTGGCTGGCTCAATGAAACCCCTCTCTAGGTTTTTTTTAATGAATCTTTCCTTCTCCTTTGGGCTCATGGAGTATAATCTGGGCTTCGGGAGTTTTGCCCCAGGCTTGAATTCAATGGCACAGTCTGTGGGTCGGGGGGGGGGGGAGCTCATTCGGCCTCTCCTCACTGAAAACTTCAGCAAGGTCTCTGTATTCCTCTGGTATTTCTGTTAGTCCCTTTTCCTCTCCCATGGATGCTTTTTCTATTCTTGATTCTGGTAGCCCCCCCTTGGGGTTTTAAGTCCATAGGGTCCCCCTTCGGGAATTTGATTTCTGTTGTCCTCCAATTTACCCAGGGGTTCCATTTTTTCAACCATTCCATCCCTAAAATCATTGGGCAATCCATGCCTGGGGTCACCACAAACGTTATGCCCTCCTCATGTTTGCCCAGGGAGAGGTGTATTGGTAGAGTGTCTAGGGTAGCTGGCACCCCCCCTACTATGGATCCATCTAACTGGCCAAATAAGATTGATTGTTCCAGTCTACTCGATGGAATGCCCAGATTCCCCACTAGGGTCGGGCTAATGAGGCAGCGGGTGCAGCCAGAGTCTATTAAGGCTTTCACCTTCACGGCTTCGGGCATGGGGGGAATTAATATAGTCACTGTCTTGAGGATCGGTGTGATGTGTCCATTTACCAGGGGTTCGCTCTCCGAGCTGTCATCTGAGGCGTCCACCAGCCCTGCGGTGTAGGCTGGAGTTCTTTCCCCCTGATGAGCAGAAGTGGGGGGTTCCTCAATTTCCATCATTCTCATGGCAGTTTCTTTTGGCTTAGCTGAAGACTTTCCGGATTTGCTGATTGGGGATCTGTCTAGGTTGTGCTGGGGGGCTTTGGAGCGGCATTCTACAGCTCGATGTCCTTCTCTTTCGCACTTGAAACACCCCGTTTGCTTCTTGGCTGTAGCCGATGATTTCACCGGTTCGTGTGTCAACTCAGGCGGGGAGCGGCTCCATTGTTTTCCTCGGTGGTGTCTCTTCAATATGTCGATCTCTGCTTCCTCTGCCAAGATGTACCATTCCTCAAGTTGGTGTGGGTCCCCTCGGGGCAGGCAAGCATCATATAGGTCATAATTTAGTCCGTCTTTGAAATGGCTAAGGAGGATGTCTTCTGGCCAGTTCAGTTTGCTGGCAATGGCCTGGAATTCTTGTGTATATTCAGCCACCGGGCGTTTGCCTTGCCTCATAGTTTTTATCCTTTCGCTGGCTTTGCGATCAGCCAGGGGGCCTTCAAATCGTCTTCTCAGAGAGGACATGAAATGGTTGAAGTTGCTGAGTTCTGGGGCATTGGAGTCGTGCAAGTTCACCACCCAATCTGCAGCCGGTCCGTCCAGGGCAGATTGCACGATCCGGATGCGGGCTTTGTCACTGGGGATGTCCCGCCCGTATTCCTCCATGTAGCTGAGGACTTGGGTTAGGAAAAACCCCAAGCGTGTTGGCTCCCTTTTGAATTTCACCTCCAACGGTAGACGTCTTGGAATGGATCGGTGCCTCCGTTGTTGGTGGTAGTGTCTTCCGTCGAGATCACCATCTGTGGCTCGGTAAGGGGTGCGGACTACTGGATCAGCAGATGTCCCTGGGGTTGCAGGTTCCACTTCCCCCTCTGTGTCTTTCCCTTTGCAGCTCCAGGAGCTGAGGCGGCCGTAGGGCTCAGGATTCTCCTCTCCTAGGGAGCTGAGAGTTCTCTTCATCAGGTCAATAGCTTTCTCTAGGATCCAGTCTGAGTACGGTGCCCAGCTTTCCCCCTCTTCACTTGCGTGCAGGGATTTCTCCATCTACTGCTTCCATTCTGGTTGCTTGCCCCCCCCCCGTCTCAGGGTCACCTTTCTTGATTCCTTTCCCCACTCACTTTTCTTTCCAACGCCCATTGACCAGCGAGGCTTGTGGTCCTGTGTTTCCACCACTTCTTCTCCTGAGGAATCTGACCTCTCAGATCCCAACATCTGGCAAGTTTCCAGTTGGGGCAGCGGTTCTCTTTCCGGGGAGTTTTCCCCCTTTCTTGCTCCATTGTCTGACATGGTAATTTTTTGCAAAATCCCCCGGCAAGGGTCTCTTTTCCAGGTGGATTAATTTTTCAAGTCCTGTCAAATGTAAGGACCCACCCCACTTTGCATCTTAAGAAGATAGAACTCTTGGAATAATTCTTCCAACAGGCATCCTTTATTAAGAGAAAATGGTTGCAGGCGTCCTAGACAGGACTTGGGGTCCAAGTTCTCCCATTCAAGGTTTTAAGAGGTTCCCCAGTAGTCCCATCCAATCACCCCCCTCTTCCAGCGACGGTTTCAGGCATTACAATTCCACCCCCTTTTCCTTCTGCCAGCTGGATGGAGACTTCAAAGAAAACTACATGAAAGGTAACAGCTCCATTCTTATGGTTAGCTCTTTTGGCAATACACACAACCAGTTGCTTTGAAGTATACTGAAGGAAGTGAGGGCCATAAAGCCCCTTTGTTCACCCCCCTTCCCTTCATCGTATAACAGAATCCATAGAAGGCAGAAATGGGGTTTTTTTATAATTGATAACTAGAGATGAAATATAATAGGATTCTGACAAGCACTTTGCAATGAATGGATCAGGTCCCAGTAGGTGTAACCTGGGAGAACCACGCTGCCTGTAAAAGAAACCCTGCAAAACTAAATTCTTTAATCATAAAATCCGTTGTTTTTTTTTAAAAAAAAACTCATAAAGAATTCATCAAGGGACAGACGACACACAGAGTAAAAAGAGCACCAGTTACAAAAGTTTTTTTAAAAAAAATACTCCCAACTTGAAAATTGCCGTGCTCCTTAAAATATTTAAGCCTGAGGCTGCAACCTACACTCATCTCCAGGGAGTGATTCAATTTAAGCGGGCTACTTCCAAGCTGAGGTAGAAATGCGTGGCAACTTTCTACTCGGGGAAGACTAATATGGAGCCGCCGTTTGCCCTTAAGCCAATTCCCTTCTGCCTCCCCGCCCCCTCGGCTTTCCCTATTCGGACGAGAGGCGACGCTCCCTACCCACAATCAGGCCCATCACCGCCACAAGATTTCCGGGACTGCATCGCACTGGCGCCGAGCGCGCTGCCGCAGCTCAAGGAGCAGGAAGTTCCCGTGGCCGACCGAGCCGGGCAGGCTGTCGTCACGTGACGCAGCGCGTGGAGCCGCGCAAGCCACTCGGCTTGGGTCGACTTCGGGGATCGGTGACCGCCGCTGGTGTCATGGTAGCGCCACGGTGGCTGGCCGCCTCTCCTCCTCCCCGGCTGGGCGGTTTTCGCGGGTGATTTCCTTGCCATCCGTTCCATGCAGCCCTTCCGCGGTGGAAGCGTTTCTGCTTCAGGGACGACGGTAGCAGTGTGAGACCTGCCGTGCCGTAGCCTTGCGCGCTTGCCCGCTTTGGATGGCCCTGTGGATGCCGCGGACGGCGAGACTACTGTAATATGCTCACTCGGATGAAGTCTGCCATGGCCAATTTGGTGGGAGGCATCATGTCTGGTAGCTCGGGTTCGGAGCCCAGCGGGGGCTTGGATTTGCCTCCCCGTTTTCCTTACGGCAGACCCGAGTTCCTGGGGCTCTCTCAGGACGAGGTCGAGTGCTCCGCCGATCACATAGCCCGACCCATCCTCATTCTCAAAAAGGAGACCGAATGCTTGCCCTGGACCACGGGATACGCCGAGTGAGTAGCCGCTGGGGGTAGGCTAGGCTGGGGTTGTCTTGAAGGTAGAGACGCTCCCCTGGGCCCTCGGTTTGCTTAAGGGAGGCGCCCCGTGCACGCCGTCTTCCTGGAAGCAAGGACGCTGCAGCAGAAGAAGGGGGAAGAGGCGACGGGCCTGTCACCGGCTTGGTGGGAAGAGGGCTGGAAGAAAAGGGGGCGGGGCGCTACTTTTCTGAACTAAAGGCAATGCTTAACTTTTCAAATGAGAAGCGCTCAGGCCGGTTTGGGAAAAAAAAATCTTGCAAAAGATATTGCAAAAGATCTAGGAAAACATGCTTAACACCAAATCCATTTATCAGGTCCAGTTGAAACTTCCTCCCCCAACAAGTCATGGAGTAGCTGTTATATCTTTGTTTTTCTTCCATTTTTTTTTCCTTCAGTGAGTGTGAAGCATAGTTGTTAGATCAATCGCTGCAGTGCTCTGGCTTTGATTCATCTTTAGTTTGAGAAGCAAGTCCTTTACCTGCGTGTAGTTTTGCAACCTTGACAGCCAGTTCTGTATACTTGCATGGAAGCAAGCCTCATTCTTAAATTCTTAAGAAGCATATGTAATACATCAAAGTGCTTACTTTTGGAATGCGGTGGGTGGGTAATTGTTTTTGTACATGTGTCAAGCAAATGTACAATTTATAGTAATATTACTGGACTCTTTAAAGTCCAATAAAGTACAATAAAGGAAAAAAAATGAATCAAAAATAAAAAATCTTGCCATTAGACATTCATTTCTATAAAAGTCCATCATAGAGCTGTGCCCCCTCCCACCACTGTTTTGCCTTTGCTTATGTAGAATACTATTTAGTCCAGCAGTTGGTGTTTGTGCAAGCTCCTGAATTGTTATGGGTGGATAAGATGTCCTGAAAGTATGTGTGTGTTTGTACGATGATTTAGTATAGTTTTGTGATGACAAAATGGCATTTAGCTAAAACAAGCCTCCAATCCCTTTTTCAGGCCTGTGCTGTAGGATGATGTCTAGAATGTTTGCCATTGATCCCTTTAATTCTCAAAATTTTCCATCTTCCCTGCACTTGATCCATGTCACTGTGAAAGCTGTCCTCCAAAGGTGGAATGAAGGAGGCTACAGTCCTTTGCTGGTTTTCTTTTTCCCCATTCTTCACCTTTCTACTTACATGTGTTTTAAAATTATTGCTTCAACTGATTATAACATTTTCTTAAAATTCAAGTTGTAAGTTATTGCCAGTTTAATTGTTTTAATATAAGAAAGAGATGCAGCTTTTCAACTTGTAGCAAATGCCTTGAAAGTCCATATATTAGTTACATTTCTGGGGCTTTAGAGATTTCTGAAAGTTCAGTCAAGGAAAGATGATAAGGAAGAGACAGACTGTCTTGAATTTCATGGTTACCAAATCTGATCCATTTGGTATATTGTATGTGCGTGGTGTTTTTTGTTGAAAATTTGGAGTGCTACATTTCTCAGTGGCTGATATGAGTAACATAATTTGTTATAAAATATAATAACCAAATTTTCTCTAAATATAATAGTGCAGAATGAAAAGTTCAAGAACTTTTCAAGCACATTCTTTTAAACATGATTTCTTACATGTTGATATAGTTTTAGAGGCTTACCTTCAAAGATCACCAATGATAGATTAACTTGAGGCAGAGAGCTTCCTCTTATCACAGACAAAGCTGTTTAAGATGTTTGACAGAGAAAAAAAGTATTGGCTGATGTGAGGGTATTTTTATGAGGGGATCTAATTGTCCATTCAGTGGGAAAATTCCTTCATCCATATTATTGACATATATGCAAGGAATGGCTTTATATTACCCAGTGAATGAATAGAATAGAATAGAACAGAACAGAATAGAATAGAATATTTTTATTGTCATGTGTAACTCACAACGAAATTAAGTACCGGTAACTCTTGAAATTGTATGAATGTGGGTATTGGTCTTCTGAGTGATTTCTTCAGATATTTGCCTAAACAATTAGAACTAAGGAATAGGCATACTAATTTTGCCCTTTGCTCTTTCTTACTTGCATATTCAGGCATCAGAAAGCGTTCTGTACTTGTTGAGAATTTGAGGACAGAACTCCTTGTAATTATGTTTTATTAGAATCCCATATTGTGCAGGTTTATGTTCAGTGTGTGTTCCTTTGAACTTACAATTTCTTTGTATATTATGTTAGAGAATTTTAATTTCTCTATTGGTGAAAAAATAAATCAGAAGCTCTCACAGTTGACTGCATTTAGCTGATTCAAAATAACTTCTTTATATTCATATAAAAATATTTACAATACCATACATTCTTCTTTACAGCAACATAGCTCAATTGAAGACTTCTTACAGAGAGATACAGAGACAAACCCAAGACTGGAAATCCAGCTCCTAACTCAATACCTTTTTGCACAGACTCAGTAGCACTTTCTTCACATTGGCTGACTGAGTTACCACATGACTCTTCCTGCTCATGAATATTCCAACACTCCTCCCTTCATGACAGGAAGAGACATCAGACCTATTGACTTAATACATTTTCCATAGTGAACACCACCCAATGGTTTAGTCATCATGTCTGCCAAATTATTCTCAGAAGAACAATGATGTAAACTAATCAATTTTCCTTTTACAGCTTCCCTGACATTACAATACTTAATGTTTACATGTTTACTTCTGTTCTTCACCCTGTCACCAGTTGCCATTTTTATACAGGCAGCATTGTCTTCAAATACCTTTACAGATTCTTTTACATTAATATTTAAATCTTGCAACAATTGTGCATCATTATTTGGCCATACCTTTTTCTTATATACCCACTTACAACCCACAGCTTTGGTTCCCTGTGGCAAAGTCACTGATTTAAATACTTCATGGTCTCCCATGGATTTCATCTCTTTATCCGTGGTCTCCTTCCATCTTTCTTGTTCAGCTTTTGGTAATGCCAACACTTCTTTATAATTTCTTGGCTCATACCACACATTGCAAACCTTTACCTTGCTGGCAGAATACCTGTCAGGCGGAATTCCTGTATTACATCGCTCTGACCTATGTGGTATTAACTGCTCCTATGTCTCAAGTCTATCTGGCTTCATGTCTTGTTCAGCCTCTCCTCCCTGAACATTGACATCTTCAATAATGATTTTTCCATCATTAGATGAGTTACTGTCATTAAATAGATCACCATCATTAAGTGAGACATACCCAGAATTTGCCTTAATTCTTTCCCAATTTTGTTCTGCAAAATTAGCAGACCTTGAAATTATAATTCATTTACTTCCATCGCTAAAGCGATATCCTTTTGACCCTGGCTCATAGCCCACAAACCTGAGCTTTCTTTCCTTTTGCTATCCCTTTCTTCTGATTGCTTTTGGAATATGTACCCATGCAGTACTTCCAAAAATTCTCAAATGTGCCAGTGATGGCTTTCTCCCATATAGAATGGCATATGGGGTATTATTAATAGAGGAACTCCACAGCCTGTTAACTATATAATTGGCAGTCAGTATGGCTTCTCCCCAATATGACCTGCTCATACCAGAATCCTCCAATAATGAATCTTTCATTGTTTGCAAAACACCATTCCTTCTTTCAGCTATACGGTTCTCTGCTGCTTTGTAAGGATTTGTACATCTGTGTCTTATCCCTAACTGCTCCAACCATTGTTGGAATTTAGTTGACATAAATTCAGTACCTCTGTCAGTTTGCAACTGACACACTTGTTGTCTGTACCTTCTCTCTACAAAACTTAACCACTGTTTGAATTGTTGTAGCACTCTCTGTCTTTGCTCTAAGCAAGTAGCAAAAACTATACCTGCTATAATCATCAACAATTACCAGTGCATATTTTGCTCCTCCCAAACTGGCTTGCATAGGTCCCACCAGATCTGCATGGACCAGCTCTAGAACTCTTTTTGTTTGTCTTGTGCTACATTTACTAACTGGGAATGCCTTTGACTTCGATGCTTTGCATACTGCACAGTCCATATATGTTTTGCATCCCTTCAAATTTAGCCCTTCTGCAAAATTTTGCATTTGCTGTAAAACCTTAAAGCTTGCATGGCCAGGTCTTCTATGTAGAAGATGAACACACGAACCATGCTCTGCAACATTCTTAAATATATGGGAACATTGAACCTTTTGTCCCTGCAATACATATAGATTATCTTCCTTTATGCCTTCTGCACAAATATTCCCATTCCTTTTGATGAGACACTTCCCATTTACAAAAATGATCTCAAAACCTTGTTTGTCTAAATTAGACACACTTAACAAATTATGACTATGTGCTCTGCAGCCAAAGATGGAGAAGCTCTATACAGTCAGTAAAAACAAGACCAGGAGCTGACTGTGGCTCAGATCATGAGCTTCTCGTTGCAAAATTTAGGCTTAAATTGAAAAAAGTAGGGAAAAGCACTAGGCCACTCAGGTATGAACTAAATCATATTCCTGATGAATATACAGTAGAGGTGACAAATAGATTTAAGGAACTGGATCTGATAGACAGAGTGCCTGAAGAACTATGGATGGAAGTTCACAACATTGTACAAGAGGTAGCAACTAAAACCATCCCAAAGAAAAAGAAATGCAAGAAAGCAAAATGGCTGTCTGAGGAAGCTTTGCAAATAGCTGAGGAAAGAAGGGAAGCGAAAGGCAAAGGAGAAAGAGAAAGATACACCCAATTGAATGCAGAATTCCAGAGAGTAGCTAGAAGAGATAAGAATGCCTTCTTAAATGAACAGTGCAAAGAAATAGAAGAAAACAACAGAATAGGGAGGACCAGAGATCTCTTCAAGAAAATTGGAGATATGAAGGGAACATTTCATGCAAAGATGGGCATGATAAAGGACCAAAATGGCAGAGACCTAACAGAGGCAGAAGAGATTAAGAAGAGATGGCAAAACTACACAGAAGAACTATACAAGAATGAGCTTAACATCCCAGATAACCACAATGAGATGGTCACTGACCTCGAACCAGACATCCTAGAATGTGAAGTGAAA